TGGAAGTTGGGTGTATAGGAAGGGAGGAGTAGATCTAGGAAGAATTGGGGTTGGAGAATGATATGAAATAAACTATATGTCTTCTCAAAAAAAGAAGATAAGCAAATATTCTTTAAAAAAAAAAAAAAGGACCCTGCTTCAATTCCTAGTACCCACATAGCAGCTCACAACTGTCTGTAACTCCAGCTCCAGGATTCCAACACCCTCGCACAGGCACGCATGCATTTTTATGAAATAAAAACAAATTATCTTTTTTTGAAAAAGATATCTGAACTCCCGTACACTACAATATTATTCACAAGAGCCAAAATATGAAAACAACTTTATTGTCTCCCCATGGTAACTAATGAGTCTTAAACACAGTAGATACTGTAATTTGATCCGGCATAGATGGATTCAGAAAACTTGCTTAGGTGTCGGTATAAGGATCTTGTGGAATGTACACAATTTACCCTTGTTCATTCAAATGCTGATTTCTCTAGCCCACTGTTTTCAATCCGGACATTGCATTGTGATGCTTATTCTAAGCATCACCCGTCTCAAGTTTGTGTAAACATGCCACCATTTGTTCTCTGTATTGTCAATTAAACAACCAGCCCCAATGCTGAGCAATAGAGAGTATAGTGTGGAACATCCTGGTCCCGGGAAGAGGGAAGAGAGGAGCAGAGAATCCACAGGAGAGATCTTGGAACCACGTGGAGAGATGGGCCAGACCTAAAATATGACTAAAAGCAAGTATAATGCGTAAATCTGAATAGTAGAAAACTATGTGGGCTGGGAGGTTTAGGATGGAGTAACTATTGCCCCGCATTGTGCTCTAGGTTAATTAAATAAATCCCAGTCTCTGTGTGGTGATATGGGTATACAGCTGGATTAGAATTAACCGATGATTAACTAAAAGATATATCACTAGTAAATATTAATATCCAACAACAAATTGCTTAACTAAAAGATAAATAAATGATAAATATTGTTACAACACAACACTTAGGCTTAGCTGAACACGTACAAAAACACATCATCCCTAAACTGTATGACACATGGGATAGCAAAAAACACAGCAATGTCAAGTTGAAAATAACAGTGCTTACCAGTGGCCATGCTGGGGGAACTTGTCAGGAAACACAGGCTGAATTTACCGAGTAGCAGGTATGAGGATGAGTAGGGCTAGGGTTTAATGTGTTAGGTTGGAAGTATAATTAAAAGAATTGTTCTAGAGATTTTTAAAACAATTTTTAGTTGGTTTTATCAAGAAGAGTCTATATGGGATATAATGATTTTAGAAATTGTTTTATGATATGCTAGTTAAAGATTTGTAGAACTCCTTGGTGTACTGACCTTATGGTGCTGCACTTGACCTAGAAGGGAGGTGTGTGTAAGCATCCCTTTGCCCTTTCCACCACCCTTCATGTGATCATGTAATGACTAAACCAACACTGATGTGTGTGTGTGTTTAAGCGTTCTGCCTGCGTTTAGGTATGTTCACCACATGCATGCTTTGTGCCTGTGGAGGCCAGGAAACGGTATTGAAAGTTCTGGACCTGGAATTATAGACAGTTGTAACCTGCTATGTGTGTGCTAGAAATTAACTCAGGGCTCACTGCAAGAGCAGCAAGTGATCTAATACGCTGAGTCATCTGTCTAGCCCCAATGACCAATATATTTTTAAAATTTACTTATGTGGCATATTACTCAAGTGATAGTTACTTCAGGCCTCAGTAAAAATAATATAATGTTTTTTTTTTCTATACCCATTCTAGCTACCAAATAATGACACAGAGACCTAGTACATTTATTGATTCCCCGTAAAGCACTAAGCTGTGCAGATACTCACTGTAACTCATCCACCCTGCTCTGGACTATTTCCCAGCCAGGTGCCCTTTACCTGCCATCTAGTCTTGCCTGGGCTGCTTTTGTTTCATCTGTCTGTCCTCACCGCAAATGCCTCATGGCTCCTGGTGACCTTCCTCTTCTCCATGACCTTCTCTCTCTCTCCCATCTGGGACCCACCTATCTGGGATCAGAAGCCCATCCCTACCTCTCCTGCCCAGCTATTGGCTGTTCAGCTTTTTATTAGAGATGATGGAGAACAATTTTTATACAACATTGAGACAGGAGATTATTCATAGAAATGACCACTAACAGTTTTTTTAATTTATTTATTACAATTTATTCACTTTGTATCCCAGCTATAGCCCTCTCCCTTATACCCTCCCAATTCCACCCTCTTTCCTTCTTGCCCTCCCATGCCCCTCCCTCAGTCTACTGATAGAGGAGGTCCTCCTCCCCTTCCATCTGACCCTAGCCTATCAGGTCTCATCAAGACTGGCCGCATTGTCTTCCTCTGTGGCAACAGGCTTAAATCTTATTTCCTGAGGTTTTCACTATAAACTAGTATTTATACAAATCTCTGTCATTTATGATTTTCATTTTTTTTGTACCACATAATTAATTAGAGAATGTAATTCTTAAGAACTTGGACCCTGACCGAGAACATGAAGCTAACATTTTCATAGTAATCAAAAGATTGGGGGCATGAAGGCCTTACTTAGAGTGGGAATGCCTGAAGTAGACGGGAAGAGGAAAAGAATGTTAAACTCCTCTGTAAATGTCTGAAGGGCCGCAGTTGGCATCAAAGCCAAATTCATATGAGTGAATAGATCTTTTCAGGAGCCACGCCCTGTCCCCTAAAGGCCATCTGCCGACAACCTCATTGCTCAGGCAGCTGCCTGCAGTGCCTGCTAGATTATGAGGCCCTGTTAGCATCTTCAGTCTATATCTCTTCCCTATCAGGATGTAGCCTGAACAATACTGAGTATGAAGGTAGAGATGGAATTCAACCTGGTCCTGGGCTACGCTTCTGAGCTTGAGAGCTCAGAGGAAGCCATTCTACCATGACCTTCCAGGGGGATGAGTGGAATCCAAGCAGAACTCAGCAGAGTTTAATGGACCTACATTTGAGGAAGGAAGGGCAGGAATTTAAGCCAAGATTTAAATTATTGTTGATAATAGTCCCTGCCTTTGTGATCCCATTTCCCCCTTAGTTAATCAAGAGCAATTCTTTCTCTGTGCTATTGATATTACCAAGTGCTGCTGAGCTCAGAGAACACATCTGACAGGTTTCTAGAAAGAGTTTTATAATATTTCCAAAATTGTTTGACTCCCAGGGCATGAATAACTGGCACGATGAAAAACTGACACCAGTTTTTTTTTTTTTTTTAAGTGAATGTGTCTAGCAGACAAAATTAACTTTTATACTTTTCATAATGCTCACAGGCAACAGTTTCCAACGTATGCCAGGCTTGAAGGAATGGAAAGAGGGATGGACAGTCTAAAGTAGTGGTGAATGGGGGAAATTACCCAATGCTGAGTCTGCACATTTTCTTATTCTGGTCTAATATACTGAACAGATGCTGTTTCTGTGCACATGAATTATTTTTCCAGTCCTCTTAAAAATACTTATTTACTTGATGTTATAAAGGTTCAAATTGTCTTAAACCTACTCCCAATATGTATAACGTTAAAAAGAAAGAGGAATGTGTGTTTTCAGGCCTGGCCATTTGGTGTTGAATAACCAACTGATGGGCTCTTCCCTGGGGAACATTATTTCTCCTGCTCTAAGCATTCCTTGCTTGCCTGTAGTGTTCTGTATAGGACTGAGGCCTCATGCAAATAACACTGTATAGACCAGCAGGTTGCACTTAGTTACTTACTTACTTAGTTTACTTAGGTTGCATTTATTTACTTATTTAAACTCATACACACACACACACACACACACACACACACACAAACACACACACAAACATTTGTACATACATTTCACAATTGATGAAAAAAGAGGCCATAAAATTGAAAAAGAACATGTAGAGACATTTGGAAGGCCTGGAGGGAGAAAAGAAAATGATGTAATTATATTGTAACTTAAGAAATAATTTAAAAATGAACTAAGTTAACAGTTAATCATTAAAAAGAAAACAGTAACAAAGAGGTGGTGATACCTGCCTTTAAGCCTAGCTAGCACTCAGTGGCCAGGTGGAATACTGAGAGTCAGAAAAACACTTGTTCTACATGGCAAGTTCCAGGTCAGTTAGGGCTACATAATGAGCCTTTATCTCAAAATAAAATAAAATAGAATTGAGAGCATGCTTCAGATAGAATCCATTTATTTTGTTTTTATAAATTATTTTGTTAGCTTAAAAGATCAAGTTTAACAATACTTTCTAAAATATTTAAAATTTTAAATTTTATGTTATTAGAATAGTTTACTGTTTTAAATTAATATATATTATATGCTAATGTCTATTAATAAGCTTTCTCTCCAAAAGAGGATAGAAAACAATAATTAGTCTTTTACCATCTGGACCCTATTTTTCTTCTGGGCTTCAATGTTTCCATCTGGAAAATGAGGATCCAATGAGACAATTTTCTACAACTTATTTCTAGTGGTTGCAGAATGGAAGGAAGCTCAAGCTTGGCATCTCTCAGGATTTGAATCTCATATATTATTATCTGCAGGAAGTTAGATATCTTTTCTCTCAGCTATGGAATGGGACCAGATAACCGGCTGTATGGAGGGCTACAGAGGGTTCGCTGAGAACAAGCCTTTAATACTCTCGGACAATCTGTGTATAACTGTATGCTCCTATACATGGCAGGATCTGATTTTAAGGTCAAGGAAAACAGAAAGCTGAGCACATGATTCAATCTCGTACTTTCCATTCTGGCACTTGGAGAAGAAAGGAGGGAACATATCAGTGTTCTTTTGCCACCAGAGATGTCCCTCTGTGTGATGAAATGGGACCTGTCAGGGTTTAAAAACAGAATACTGTCAGGCCGATGGCACCACATCTTGGCAAGAAATGCTTTGCATAGTTTCCAGCGTCACAGACTCTCCTTCCCCCACACACCCTGCTTCTATTTAAATCCCAGGCACCTCTCCCTACCACATTCCCTCTTTAGCCAGTGTCCAGGCTGTCAGCAGAGAAGAAACAGGTAGCATGGCTCCTGGAGAAACGGAAAGGGAGGCGGGGCCAGCCAAGAGTGCCCTCCGGAAGGTACGCACAGCAACCCTGGTTATCAACTTGGCCCGAGGTTGGCAGCAGTGGGCGAATGAAAACAGCACCCGGCAGGCCCAGGAACCGACAGGCTGGCTGCCTGGAGCAACTCAGGACCCATCCCACACTCCTAAACCAGGGGTGTGTCCCAGTCCCCACCAGCACGCCCCCAAACCTCCTTCTCCAAAGCCAGATGGGCACGGAGAGAGACAATGCTCAGAAGAAGCTGTGGAGGTCTCCCACATCAAAAGGAAAGAGGTGACCAAAACAGTTGTCAGCAAGGCTTATGAGAGAGGAGGAGATGTGAACTATCTGAGCCACAGGTATGAGAACGACGGCAGCGGGACCGAGGCTGTTCAGCCAGAGAATGACATTGACAGAATCCTCCTCAGCCATGACTCGCCGACACGGAGAAGAAAATGCACCAACCTGGTATCCGAGCTGACCAAGGGCTGGAAAGTGATGGAACAGGAGGAGCCCAAGTGGAAGAGTGACAGCATAGACACAGAGGACAGTGGCTACGGAGGGGACATGGAGGAGAGGCCTGAGCAAGATGCCGTGCAGGTGGCTGCTGCCAGGATCAAGCGCCCCTTGCTCTCCCAGTAAGTGAACGCTTGCGATGTCTCAATCATCAGGGAGCTCCAACCAGCAACGGATATAGAGAGAGATGTATTGCCAGTCAGAGTGGGTCCTCTAGGGCGGCACATCCCTGGCCTGAAAGGCCAGTGCTAACCTCGGGTGTGGCCGTTCTGGTCCAACCATTACTGTTTCACCTACGAGAGGGAATGGTGTCAGCACCTTTTCAGGCTTCCTGAGTTAGACTTGCACAGGAAGAGTGAGTGAGGCAGCTGGAAAGGCTGAACCAGAGCTTGCGTTTTAACCCGTGTTACACGCACTCTCTTAGCATAAGGCACAGTATCCGTTTAATTGATCGCAATAACCTCCAAAGTGTAGGGATTCAGTACAAGTACGTTGAAGGGCTTTAAAACAAAAACAAAAATAACGGCCTCTAGTTTGTGTGCGCGAGTGTGTGTGTGAGTGTGTGTGCATCTGTGTATGCATGTATGCATATGCACGGGTGTGGAAGCCAGAGGCGGAAGGCCCTGTCTTGCTATATTGCTCTCAACTCTTAGATACAAGACAGGGTATCTCACTGGACCTGAAGCCTGCTGTTTCGGCTCACCTGACTGGCCAGCGAGCATCCAGGAATCTGTCTGTCTTACGTAAATGTTGGCCATGCCTAGAATGCATTTTTATCTTATTTTTATGTGGGACCTGGGGACTCAAACTCAAGCCCTTATGTTTGCATAACTAGAAAGATGGCTCTCACCCACGGAGCCATCTTTCCAACCTAGCTTGATGTTTACTGCTTTCCATGGACGTGGTTACCAATCTGTAAATCAAAGGCCTGGGGCTCAAGCTTCTTAGAGAGGAAAACAAAGATGATAGCTGCTGATGGTAATAATGACACTGCAGTTTAGATAGCAATCTTGACACATATGACCCCATTGATCCATTGATCAAATTAGTGATAGTCCCTGGGCAGTGCCAATTCAGAGAGGAGTCAACTCCGCTCAGTAGTTCTGGGCATAGTGGGATGAGGAGCTGAGGTTTTTCAGCCACAAAGACAACTGGGTACCAACTGTCGGGTGAAGACACCACCACTTCATAGCTATCCCAAACGTGTGCTAGAAAATTCACTCTGATGCCCCCTTGACATACTGAAGCTGGGTGAAGGACACATACTAGAGTACATTAAGCGCCATCCCACTAGAACAGATTATAAATAAAAACCCCTAGCTGTCTTATTTTCCATTAATATTACTGCATTAAAAACATTCATATAACTACTCCAAAATGACAGAAACATGAGAAAATTGGTTCCCATATTTTCACTATACTATTAATAAGCTGCATTCAGGTAAGAGAGCAGAATTAAGCTGATGCCATTTTTAGAGTTGGTAATTTAGGAATAAGTTTGTGATATGTTTCTGTTAAAAAAGTTAAACTTTCTAATGTACTTTGCCTATCATATCTTGTAGCATTTGTCACCATGCATATTCCTTAGAGAGGAAATAATTGTCATCTATGACAGGTGGAGGTTTTGAATTCAATGTTAGTCTCCTAAAATATGTAGGGCATAGTAATTGCTTTGTTGTCAATTTGTACTGTAATTATCTTTTCAAAGATCAGTTTAAACAAGTGGTTCTCAACTTTCCTAATCTGCAAGCCTTTAATAGCCATAAAACTATTTTTGTCACTACTTTATAACTGTAATTTTGCTACTGTTATGAATCATAATGTAAATATTTGTGTTTTCTGATGGTCTTAGGCAAACCTTTGAAAAAATTGGTTGACCCTATGGGGTCATGACTCACAGGTTGAGAACCATTAATCTGAACTATTTTCACCTGAAAATTTAAAGCATGCAGTTACGTGGAATCATTCTATCAGTGACCAAAAAGATCCCTGGGATATAAGGATTTCTAATTTCAGTTTAAACCTCACACTTTCATACATTTTAACAACTCAAAATATAAAACCATACAGGATGTTTGTTGGTATAGAAAAGAGCCATTGTGACATATATCTTCCAAGTATTTTAAAACAGACTTATTTTCTAATTATTGGTTTGTTCCATTTCCTCTTATTTTAGGGACTTAACAATATTACAATGTAATGAGATTTAGATATTATTTCTTTTTAAAGATTATTGCTTCTTCATAGATTTTTTTTCTAAACCAACAAAAACTTTTATTCAAACAATATTGAGCTCCAACACCTAGAGCATCTACACTGCTAATTCAAAGTGAAAGACAGAAATTATACCTTAAAAAGCAAAAGCCAGAAAGTCATAAAACATGCAGTTTAAACAAATCACCCCTGGACACTAGTGTGAATGATTCTATACTATCCCTTTCTTTCCTTCATCAAAATTAAAAATAAGCATAACGCTCACATAATAATATTTGAGAGGCCCTCTGTGGTAGGCTCCTGTCCTGTTCCCAGTTTTCCCCATCTTCTGAGGTCTATCCTGTTTGCCTTTCTGAATGAGGACTGAGCATCTTACCCAGCAGGGTATTAAAGCAGATGCTGAGACTCATAGCCAAACTCTGGGCAGAGTGCAGAGGATCTTATAAAAGAAGGGGGAGATAGAAAGACATGGAGGGGACAGGAGCTCCACAAGGAGAGCAACAGAACCAAAAATTCTGGGCACAGGGGTCTTTTCTGAGACTGATACTCCATCCAAGAACCATGCATGGAGATAACCTAGAACCCCACCAGTCTGCAAGTGGGTGCCCTAGTAAGGGAAACAGGGACTGTCTCTGACATGAACTCAGTGGCAGGCTCTTTGATCACCTCCCCCTGAGTGCCAGGTCAGCCTTACCAGGCCATAGAGGAAGACAGTGCAGACAACTCTGATGAGACCTGATAGACTAGGGTCAGATGGAAGGAAGGAGAACCTCCCCTATCAGTGGACTGGGGAAGGGGCATGGGAGGAGAAAAGGGAGGAAGGGTAGGATTGGGAGGGGAAAAGGGAGGGGGGTACAGCTGGGATACAAGGTAAATAAATTGTAATTAATAAAAAAAATTAAAAAAAACAAAAATCCTTAAAATTCTGTTGTATTGCTACTAAAACTCACCTATAATGAATACAGAATTAATGAATAAATATTATATTGTTTAAAAAAAGAATAATATTTGAAGTTATAAGTTCACTAATCACCAGGATGCCAATGTAACATTTTTCATTTGTGCCTAAAATCACTAAATTCGTCAGCCTGATGCCTCTACCTGTTAGTTACTCGAATTATTTTTGCAAATTAATAATAATAATGTCTCTTAGGGGACTTTTCCCACAATGTAATGGCTATCCAAACAGTGCTTAGAAGGTGTCCTAAAAAGGACAGATGGAGTGGCCAAGCAGCCAGGAGCTCACAAAGGCTAGCCTATGAATCTTTAACATGGGCCAGAGCCCCGAGTTTGTGCTAATGATTTGAATGCATCACATTTGTCACCTACGCAGAATTTCAGAAGTTTGTACCTCCTGAAAGATATCATGCCTTCCTTGTAGGTGGCAGGTGCTCTTTTTCAAAGGCACCTTTAGATTTTTTTTTTTCTTAAACTTAAGGCAGCTGTGATCATTAGGTTACACCTGTCTTCATCACTGTGGCTTCAAGGGCACAGTTTACTCTTCTAAGATTTTGCAGCCCACGCTGGTAGGTGAGCAAGACAGCTGATGGCAAAGCAGTGACAGTTCACTGCAATGGGGTTGAGTGAAATCCACTTCAGTGTTTGCTCTTAGCACTTTTTCAAACTCAAGGGATTGCAATAAACATGTATTGTATATAGTACTGTGTGCTGTTTTCCCAGTTAAACTGGTCTCATGTTTTTCTCCACATGGCTATTAAAAACAAAACAAAACATATTGGATCAGAGCATCCCTTTCCATGCTAGCCTAACAGTGAGCCATTATAGCCATAAGACTTTCTGAAACACAAACATGGGAATAAATGAAATTTCGCCATCTAGTGGATGTTCTCTCTTTGAAAAGACTTTATTGTGAGGGTGCATTTAAAGCACATACAGGCCTGGTGTCTGCCACTTGATGGTCTGCACATCTTCCTTACAGCAAACACACGTCCCCTGGCTCTGTAATGCTGTCATGAGTCTCATAAACTCAGGGCTATCCGGACAGAACAGAGCTCATGACACAGGGACAGAGGACTGAAAAGCCTTAGAAACAGTTACTGTGTGATTCAGTCACCCATTTGTCACCCAAGCAGAATTTAGGAAGTTTGCACACTGACAGCTAACCCTAGCTTACTCTTGGGCGTAGAACAGTGAATTACGAGTGCTCATAGGGTCCCGTCATGCCACTCATAGAGATAATGCAAGAACTCATTACATCTTCAATTCCAACGCTTCCAGGCATGAGGCCACTTTGTGTTGTGGGGAAGAAAGGTGGGTGCTTTTTGAAGATGGAGTAATTCCTTTTTTACAAAGAAAAGTAAAAAAGCATCTGCTAAACTGGAGATATAGAATAATGCTGGGTTTCAAATGCTAGGTTTTAATAGTTTTGTGCTTAATAAAGAAAATGCATTCCAAATTCCAAGGAAACACACACACACACACACACACACGCGCACACACACACACACACACACACACACACACCCCTTTGAAATACGACTCCCTTATCACATGCTACCCGAGTGCTAGTGGCATCACAGTGCATTTAGCTTCCGTTTTTGCCGAATTCTCCAGCTGCTACAGACTCAAGCTGTATTTCTTAAGAGTTACATACTGAACTGACCTCTTAGGACAGCTTAATTTGGCTTCCAATTCCAGTCTTGGTCTATCACTTAACAGATCTGTCTTTAATATGTTCCTTAATCTTTCTAGCTTCAGTTTCTTCATCTACACAGCTGAAATGTTATCTGTCTTGTAGATGATTGTGGAGAATAGTAACGAAGTGTTTGGAAGAATGACAGTATATGGCATTCATTCTTACTGCTAGCAAATGTTTTCTATTTGTGCAACCTGGTGCTTTAAAAAATGTGTGCACATCACTACTAGTGTAAATAGGCTATCATAAAAAAACATGAAATTCCACGTACAGCTATTCCAATCTTTAGTAGTACCAAATGCATGTTTGGGAAAGAAACGGTTTCAGAAGCCATATAAGAACTGATTCTAGTTCAGGAATGTTCAAAACATGCAACATGTTAGAAGTAGATACTTTCATACTACATGTAAGGAAGAATTTTTTTAACTTGAATTTGATGTTAGTGGCTAATCCATTGCTATCGTTAATCCATATTGTTATTGTGATCAATGATATGTGTGAAAGTAAAAATTATGTATTTTTTTGGTAAGTAGTGACACGTATTTTATCATGACAGAAACTGCACATGGCAAGTACAAAGGGGAAATGGTACTTCCTGTTTGCATGCTAACCTTGCTTCTTCACCTTCTCTCTTTTAGGGCAAACAGATATTCAGAGACACTCAACTGTAAGGCCCATCGGAAATACAGCCATGTGGACAACCTGAAAGGGAGGTGGCAGCAGTGGGCTGATGAGCACATACAGTCACAGAAGCTCAACCCCTTCAGTGATGAATTCGACTACGACCTGGCCATGTCCACTCGGCTACACAAGGGAGACAAGGGCTATGGCCGTCCCAAGGAGGGAAGTAAGACAGCTGAAAGAGCCAAGAGAGCTGAGGAGCACATCTACCGGGAAATTATGGAATTGTGCTTTGTGATCCGCACTATGGCCCGCCACAGACGAGATGGCAAAATCCAGGTTACTTTTGGGGAACTCTTTGATAGGTATGTTCGAATTTCAGATAAAGTGGTGGGCATCCTCATGCGTGCCAGGAAGCATGGACTGGTGCACTTTGAAGGAGAGATGCTCTGGCAAGGCCAAGACGACCATGTTGTGATTACTCTCCTTGAGTAAGACCTCAACAAATCAACTCTCCGTTGCTCTCCTGCTAAATGATAATGTATTACAAGGTATTGCTGCTCTGGAATGGTCTCAATAAAATGATTTTATATAAATGGCATTTGGTGTTGTTTCTATGAGGTTACTGCATGAAGATCTTGGCCAAATACACTCAGAATACAGACTATCATACATAACAAGTATATTAATATTTGAAATTTCACTTACCTTTTTAGGCAAAAATACTTGGCCTTCATTGATAAAATTATTATAGATTTAAACCACACATTACAGGTAAGAAAACTGACATTGCATAAAGTAGAACAGCAGCATAATGTAAGTCACTTTTTTTAGGGGAAAATTTGTATAAAATTAAGTTTAACTTAAAAAAGTGAGTGGTCTCCAATGTTATTTAACTAAGGATGACTTCAAAGCCTTATATGCCAGACTCTATCTCCTTAGCGCTGGGTCTACAGGCTTAGATTCAATCATTGCCACTTTGTGAAGTGCTAGGGATCAAAACCAGAGCCTCATGCCCGCTAGGGAAGTACTCTATTTACCAGAATATTCTCCAGGCTTTTCGAAAAATTATTGCATCATCTTGGTGCATAAATAAATGTCAGTATTCAATAAAAATGTTGAAGTTCCTCTGTGTGATTCAACTCCGGAAGGGTTCCTTTAGTCAGCTTTCCTCTTTCTGCTCAAGTATGTAGAAACAGACGCTATTAATGGCCTTATAAAACCAACAATGATGGTACCTTACCTGGAAAGTGGGGTGCAATTGAGAGGTTAAGGCTAATCTACCTTTGCTGCACTTCATGAACATACTTCAAGTACATACTTTCTAAGAAGTAAAACTGATTATCTCCAGATTATTCTTTACAAATAGCATTCCCTCTAAAGATGCTAGTTTCTGAATTTACAGTTAGGCATTATTCAGAAGAACTAATAAATCTGTTTTCTTAGCAGAAGGGGTACAGTGACCTTAGAATTCTCATTCACAGAATTCCTGCTTACATGGAGTTACTCCAGTTCCAGAAGAAATGCTGATAATCTGGAAAGAAACTGGCACTGGAAAGAGAAAAATCCAGAAGCAAGCTGAGTATGGACGTGATTCTGCTTTGCAACACAATATAGAAAGGATTGTCAGTGTATTCTTTTAAGATTTTTATTATCATTTATAATTTATTCAATTTGTATGCCAGCTGTGGCCCCCTCCCTCATCTCCTCCCAACCCTGCCCTCCTTCCCCATGCCCCTCCTCTAGTCCACTGATAGAGAAGGTCCTCCTCCCCTTCTGTTTGACCCTAGCCTATCAGGTCTCATCAGGACTTGTTGCATTGTCTTCCTCTGTGGCCTGGCAAGGCTGCACTCCCCACCCCCAAGAGGGAGGTGATCAGAGAACCTGCCACTGAGTTCATGCCTGAAAGTTCCTGCTGTCCTTACCAGGTACCCCACTTAGAGACTGAGTCTATGGGCTACACTGAGCTGGGGTTTTTGGTCCTCTCAATGCATTGTCCTTGGTTGGCATGTCATTCTCTTCAGGGCCCCCAGGGCTCAGTTTCTATGGTCCTGTTGTTCTTCTTTTGGAGCTTCTGTCCCCTCCAGGTCTTTCTTTCTCCCCCTTCTCTCTTAAGATTCCCTGCACTCTGCCCAAAGTTTGCATATGAGTCTCAGCCTCTGCTTCGATACCTCCATCAGTAGAGTCTTTCAGAGGCCCTGTGTGGTAGGCTCCTATCCTGTTCCCTTCAAGGACATTTGTTCATCCATGTTCAAAGCAGCCCTATTCGTAATAGCCAGAAGCTGGAAACAACCTAGATGTCCCCCAACAGAGGAATGGATACAGAAAATTGTGGTATATTTACACAGTGGAATATTACTCAGCTATTAAAAAGAAATAAATTATGAAATTTGCAGGCAAATGGTGAGAACTAGAAAAGATCACCTTGAATAAGGTAACCCAGAAGCAGAAAGACACACATGGGTATATACTCATAAGTGGATATTAGCCATATAATAAAGGATAAACACTCTCAAATATGTACAACTAAAGAAGCTAAACAACAAGGAAGATTCTAGTGAAGATGCTCCATCCTTATTTAGGACACACGTGATAGACATTGAAGCAGGAGAAGACAGGGAACAGGACAGGTGTCAATGTATTCTTTTTTATATTTTATTTTTTTATTAATTATAGCTTATTCACTTTGTATCCCAGCTGTAGCACCCTCTCCTATCCCCTCCCAATTCCACCCTTGCTCCCTCTTTTCTTCCTATGCCACTCCTCCAGTCTACTGATAGGGGAGGTCCTCTTCCCCTTCCATCTGATCCTAGTCTACCAGTGTATTCCTAAATTCAAAAAAGTTGAACTTTGAATATCTTATCCTGGCACCTGCAGAATCTTTCCATGCAGAGAAGAGGAAGCATTAGTTGAAATCCTGATAATAGGAACTTGGAATATCCCAAGTTCAACTCTGATTGTGTTTTATTTCAAACACACACACACACACACAGTGTTTTGAAATCTAAAGAACAAAAAATGCAACAGTTCTTAACTCATTCATTTTCTTTTTTAAGGCAGACAGGTTCTCACTGTGGCAACATATGTACATGTTACACATAAGAGATTTCACTAGAAATATTAAGACTAATGACTCATGAACTAGTTTAGAAACAAAATCATGTGTTTAAAGTATTGGGAATTTCAGTTTAGTCATTCTTAACAATTTCTAAAGGAGTTAAATCTGTATTTTGTCTAACAAGTAACAATGATGGATTCCTATTATTTTTAGACATAACTTGACATTTTGCATTTAATACAAAGTATTATAAACCATTTTAATTTTAGCAGTTCTTTTTGAATTCAGTCTCACATTATAGTTAGTTTGGTTTCAGAGTTATATACTTTAGTTAAAAATATTGGTCACTGTTAACACTCAGTATAAGAAACTCAGTGCTAACTTCCGTGTATTAAATGAGGTTTTTCTTTGCCTCAGTAGAACTGATACTGCTTTTGTCTGTTTGCTTTGGTGACCTGTATGTTTTATGGCATTTTCTTTGTTAGAATGGAAAGGAAAATATCTCTGGTTTTTTTTTTTTGTTTTTGTTTTTGAATTTTATTTTTTTCTTATCAGTTACATTTTATTAACTCTGTATCCCAGCCATGTCCTGATCCCTCATTCCCTCCCAGTCCCTTCCTCCCTCCCTCCTCTCCACCGTGCCCCTTGCCACGTCCACTGATAGGGGGGACCTCCTCCCCATTCATCTGATCCTGTTTTATCAGGTATCTTCAGGACTGGCTGCAAAGCTCTCCTCTGTGGCCTAACAGGACTGCTCCTCCCTTGGGGGGTGGGGAGGCCAAAGAGCCAGTCATTGAGTTCCTGTTAGAAATAGTCCTTGTTCCCCTCACTATGGGAAACCAATTGGTTACTGAGCTACCACAGGCTACATCTGAGCAGAGGTTCTAGGTTATATCCATACATGATCCTTGGTTGAATGTCAGTCTCAGAAAAGACCCTGTGCCCAGAAATATTTGGTCCTTGTGGAGCTCCTATCCTTTCCCCATCAGACTAACTCCCCTTCTTTCTTATGATTCCCTGTACTCTGCCAAAGGTTTGGTCATGAGTCCTTGCTTTGAAAACACTGCTACTTAGAGTCTTTCAAATGTGCTCAGTAGACTCCTGTCATACGTTCAATGCACATCCCATCTGTCTTTCTAAATGAGAATTGATCATCTTACCCCATGTCCGCTCTCTTGATTATCTTTTTTAGGTGTACAGATTTCATTGTGTTTATCACATCTTATAGGTCTATATAAGTGAGTATATACCGTGTTTGTCTTTCTCCTTCTGGGATATTTCACTCAGGATGATCTTTTCTAGGTCCCACCATTTGCCTGAAAATTTCATGATTTCCTCCTTTTTGATTGCTGAGTAGTATTCCATTGTGTAAAAATACCACAATTTCTGTACCCATTCCTCCGTTGATGGACATCTGGATTGTTTCCAGGTTCTGGCTATTACAAATAAAGCTGCTATAAACATGGTTGAGCAAATATCCCTTTTGTGTACTTGAGAAAACTTTGGGTATATACCTAGCAGTGGTATAGCTGGGTCTTGAGGAAGCACTATTCCTAATTGTCTTAGAAAGCGCCAGATAGATTTCCAGAGTGGTTGTACCAGTTTACATTCCCACCAGCAGTGGAGGAGGGTTCCCCTTTCTCCACAACCCCTCCAGCATGTGTTGTCACTTGAGTTTTTCATCTTGGCCATTCTGATGGGTGTAAGGTAATATCTCAGGGTCGTTTTGATTTGCATTTCCCTGATGGCTAATGAGGATGAGCATTTCTTTAAGTGTTTCTCTGCCATTCGAATATCTCTGGTTTTAAATTCAGCAATTGTATAAGACTTTGCTCCACTGAACATTCATAGATTATTTATTTCTTATTCATTTATTGGCATAAATGTAAGCAGCACTAGTCATCACGGCTTTAAGCAAGACCCAGGAAGTACATACAGAATGTGTTTCAGTCACAGCTACCTTAAATGCTGACACCCAGCTGGCAGCCAGCTTCTGTTAAGCCCAATTCTTAAATCTCTCACTTCATTCCTTATACCTTTTTTATTCTTATTGAGACCTCATTTCTTTTTCCTCGGATTTTACAATAGACTTGCTTGTTTTTCCTCTATTAATCTATTTTTTTCACAAAAATTTTTCCTAAAGGACACATCTGTCTATGTGATTCCTCCACTCAAGTATTTTCAAAAGCTCCATGAGATTAAAAAAATAAACTGCTTGGTGCTGTGCATGAGGCTGGCTCTTCATGTCACTGAGACGTATGCCATGCACTCTCTCCCCTCTGCCAACACTTCAAACATATCACACCATTCTTCCGGCAAATGGTTCTCCAAACATTGAAACAGTGGTGTTGCCTGTAACTGAATCAAACCTGGATCACTTTTGGTTGCCATACCAACACAAGGCACGCTAGCAGGACACTTGTCAGGAGACAGGAGTAGGCTTCCAGTTTTTAGATATGGAAATAACTTGATTATTGAATAAATCCAAACTCATTTGCATTTATGCATTTAATTTTATTTGGTATACATCTCTATGACCTTGTTGTAGTTGAAATCCATTACAGGATGTTTTAAAGTTTTATGATTAGTCACCTCCACAAAGACAATAATACTGCTGTGGAAGACTAATGGGGGAAAGGATACATGTATTTACAATTCCCTATATTATAAACATTTAACCTAGACACTATCACCTAACTTGTAATGAGAGCTTTACACAGACGAGGAAACGATGCCGTTTCTATCCATCTTCAGTAACAGCGTGTCATAGAACACCAGAGATTTTGATTAACATTATGCTTTCTTCAGATAATTATCTAAACTGTTCCCAAAAGAACTAGGTACTTTTAAGAGTTATATAACTAAAACTATTTAAGCCAACATACTTGGCTGGTAATTTCATTTTGAGAATAATTTAAAGTGCTATAAGCAACCTGGCAGTCAACACTTCCTGTAAGAACAAAACTATCTTTAAACATCAATTTACAAGATATACAACATTTGTGTGGAACAGCTGAATTTCCAGCACAGAGCCACTGTCACATGTATAACAGCAGGATTTATTTTTTGCATAACATGAAGCTCTGAAATTTAACTGATGAATTGTTGCCACAATGGCTTATTGTTGGTTTCCTACAAGAAAAAATACAATTGCTAGTTTATTCTATCTTCATTTGAGGCCACTTGACAGTAAGCTTGCATATTCACCAAGTCTACTGAGTTACAGTGTTGTCTACTACAGTCACTGTCCTGTGACAGTGCAGATGCTAATGGGAACTAAGAACATATACCACTTAAAAAAACAAGGTTTTTATTTCAAAACAAGTTATTTCCTTTGGAGCAGAAAAAAAACAAATCGAAAATGTATTTGGGGAGTTGGTATGCGACAAGGCTAAAACAACAGAACTGTAAAACAGTATATCTGATACAATGTTGAAGAAATATGCAAGTTTTAGTTGTAGTACTTATGATAATGCCCTATTAAGCTACAAATATGTAAATAGTATTACTTGTTTAATATATTAAATCCAATAGAATCATTGAATTCCCATTCTCCTCTGTCAATTTGTAACTCTTTATCTGACAATTAAGTGATGAAAACATGCGCCCAAACCTGCAGATCGTGTGTGCTGCTGTCTATGCCGATCAGGCTTCTCCTCAAATTTCATTTTCTTAAAATGAAATCGAGAATGTTTACAAAATGAATAAAGAGAATGCTGTGGTGAATTAGAACCATAAGAGGTCTATGAAGCATGTATTATTTTGGCATGTGCTTTCTCATTCAGAAGAAAATGGTAAGCAGGCCAAATGTTACTTGTGTCAACTCCACCAGATACAAAAGTATCTATACCCTATTTCCTCAAGGTCCCAAGTACACTGCTCTATAAAAAGAAAAAATACAGGTTAAAAAAAAAAGTTGTACAGCAGAGCACCATCTAATTAGGAGACTGAGATAACATGAACTGAAAATGTGGTGGCCTCGATGATCAAAGTGCTACAGTATGCGGACAAAAGCTCCACCTAGCTGTTACACTACAGGAACCCAGGCCATGGTGTAAACAAAAGAACTCTGGGACAGAAACATGATTTGAAAAATAAACTCTAAAATTATAGTAAATGGCAAAACAGACTGATTTTAAAGCACGAGTGACATGTTAATTGTATTGCTTCTTGAACATTCCAAGCTATGCATTGTCCATTCAGGTTTGGGCCCATGTCCTGCTATGACCGAGAGCACTGTACTTATTCAAAAGCCCAGATTTCAATGTCTTGGATAAAGAAGTCTTCCTTCTTAGAAAGTGTATGATTCCCAAACGTTTTACAGGAATGGCTTCTTCCATGGTAGAGATCTCCATCAAGCCAAAGGGCAAATTCTCCTCTGAAATACATCAAAACAACAGCTATGAAAATTTATACTCTAGTTGGAGAGATGGCTCAGTGGTTAAGAGCACTGGCTGCTGTCCCAGAAGACCCGGGTTCAATTCCCAGCACCCACATGGCAGCTGACAAATGTATATAATTCCTGGATCCATCACCCTCACGCAGACATACATCCAGCCAAAACACCAGTGTGCATAAAATAAAAGTAAATAAATTATTAAAAAAAAAAAAGAAAACTCATACTCTAAATTATAAAGTAATTAATTGGGCTTTTCAATGTCCACTAACTCTAGGACCATGAACTTTTCTAAACCTTCCCCTATTCCTTGCAAGCAGCAGAGGAGGCTACCGTAATACCACATGACTAAACAAAATTGGGATACTAGGATATGAAAAAAATGAAAAAGGTTTCCATAGGGATTTTAGGCTAAAAGAGTAAAACAAATAGGCTCATACTATTGAAGAAAAGCAAAAACGCTTAATATGGTGTCACTGAATCTTATTACAGGAAAACAAACTTTTCAAATTGTCTGAAATACAGATCCAAATAATTTTCAGAGAAATTTGAAAGAAAACTATTGGTTTGTCCTATACAGTGACAGAGACAAGGCACTATCATGTGTCCTTAAATATTCATGACATTAGAAGATTTAAAAAGTAAAATTTCAAATGTCAAAGAGCCAAATAACAGTACAGCAAAAGAAAGGTTTTAATGGGAATAAGCTAGCCAGCATTTTAAAATGAAATAAAAAACTACAACTATGTAAAATATTATACTTAAGTGCCTTAAAAACATACTTTGTCATGCAAGTTTAGATTCTTTTTTTTTAATATTTATTTTATTTATTATGTATACAGTGTTCTGCCTGCACGCCAGCAGAGGGCACCAGATCTCACTATAGATGGCTGTGAGCCACCATGTGGTTGCTGGTGATTGAACTGAGGACCTCCGGAAGAACAACTGGTTCCCTTAACCTCTGAGCCATCTCTCCAGCCCACAAGTTTAGATTCTATTGCCAAATTTTTCAAAAATAACTTCTTTTGTAAATAATCTAAACAAAAGACTCATAGTGAAATGTTCAAGACTTACCCTCCACCACCAAATGCTAATGAGTCCATGTCTCCTTTGATAAAAAACATATTATCTCCTGTCCACTTGAAGACCTACATAAATGAAGACAAAAGGGCTGAATATGTACTTGAAAACGGTCAACAACTCGTCTTCCTAAACTTAAGGGCATTTTCACAAGAGACCAACAACATCAAAATGTAGTAGAAACTGCATTTCAGTGTTTCTGATTCATTTTGAAAGTACATAGGCAACTATAACTAACTCTCCAATCCCCCTTTTCAGACCATAACTCCTCACACGTATTTCTCTCTTCTGATATTAACTGTTTTTCTAACATCAAATATAAATCTTTATGAATTGCTACAGGGCCAAGGTTTTTTCTGTGGGTTCAAAGCTCCTATTCACTATTTTTAGATGAACAGTGCTTATGATTTTCTAAGTTAAACACCTTAGAAATCTGAAAGGAAAACTAGACTTAGCAGTCTTGTTGTATCTGTGGATTTCTTTTCCATGCAAAAGTGGGAGCAGATGCCCATACACACACATGTTGAAGCCAGGTCTCTTCATCTATGGCTCTCAGCCTTCTTACGTTGAGGTGGGGTCTCTCAGTGAACCAGACACTTAACCGAATTAGCTAATCTGGTTGGCCACCGAGCTTTCAGTTTAGGCCACCTGTCTTAGTCCTCTATCACTGGGCCAAGCCCAGCTTTCATGGGTGCTCGGGGTTCAAACTCAGGTCCTCATGATTGCAGAGGGCCTCAAACAATGAATTGTACCCCAATATTACATTCTTATATATTTGATTGTAACAGTTTATAGAAAATTTACCTAAACTAATTAGTATAGGCCCAGTGCTTCATCATTATCATGTTTCTCAAAATTATTGCATACATACATACACCTTTCCCAGCTTTTAATTTTATTTGGTTTTGCACATTAAGCCACAAGATTTATAAGAAAGGACTCCAACAGCTCAGGCTCCTTTCCATTAGCTCTCATAGTGTGCTTCTCTTAGCAGAGCAGGCTGACCCCAGTTTCCTTTCTCTTTGGCTTCTTTTTTTAAAAATCATTTTCCTTTGCTCGTCTCAGGAAGCTATTTCAGTTCTTAGAGTGTTTAATGTGCTCAACATGCACAGTAATTCTTGAGAACCTTGTCCTAAGCTTGTTTGCTTTCAACAATGCAGACAGCTGGGAGATACTGCACTCTGCAGTGTTATAATGGAACTGCTTACAGGACATCATTACTTCAGGAACCGTACTCATTCCCCTGATCTTTCAAATACCACTCTCCTGGGAGGTTTTCATGTATGCGGCCAAAGGAAGATTTTCATGTTTCTTAAAAGCCAGGGAAATTACAGTGGGTGATGCCTCTTCCCCTTTGTTATTTTGGCAAGTTCCCAGAAGACTGACTGTTGTGGTCACAAGTTTCAATAACACTTTGACATTTCAGCTGCATATAATGAAGTATTACATTTATCAGATAGTTTTATAAGACATCAAAAGGTTTGAGCGTAAGCATGAATGTTGGTTAAATCTGTAACAACTACAAACTTATCAGTTGATATGTTGTATGGAGACAAAAGCACTGACTAGTCCACATGAGCTGTTATGATACTTTTTTATAACTGTAACATTTAAATAATTTTTCTTACCTCAAATTCAGGACAGAATGTAAAAACAAATGTTTCTCCGGTACCATAAAAGCCATCACTTACTTTAAATGGCTCAGATGCTAATGCACCAAAAACCTAAGAATAAAAAGGGTAAGTTCACTGATCCAGCCACAAATTTAGTTCATGTGCATTACCCTCCATACATATGCTTCAATACAATGTAAACAGTGTCTCAGGAGACATTCACACAACTTCTCCTTAAGAGGAAATGACAAGTTTCTGTTCTGTGACACTCCTATTGAGTACAAAGCATAGTGACTTCTCAATGAATGGAGAAGAGATTTCCCTGGCTTTGAAGTGTAGAAAGATACAGTGATTATACTATCAGAAAGTGCTAAATAGATTTTAAGAGAGCAAAATCAGTCTATTTATAGTACATAAATGTGTCTACTGAATTACATTGTGAAGAAAAGTACAAGTCCTTTAGTGTAGCTAAATTTCCTTTCCTTCCTGCATCATTTCATAGAAAACACCGAATGGCACATTTTGGTTTGAAGGAGCTTGACTATTGAAAGCCTACATCATATATCCTAATAAAAATCAAATGCGGATGAAATGTGGCTATTTCAGTGCCCTGAGCCCAAGTTTTCATATCCTGAAAGGACAGTGTAGCACTTGATAGATCTTTACAATCACTATGTCTAACATTCTATCGTTACAGTATTAATTTTATAAATGTACATATAATAGGTTATTGTATTTAGAGGAATGTGCACAGAATATAAACGCATAGCTCACTTAAAACGATTAAGTCCCATGTAACACAGACTCGGGCAGAGAGAGAACTTCACCGGTAGTTGGAAAGCTCCAAGAGAGAGAACTTCACCAGTGGTTGGAAAGCTCTGTGTGTCCCTTCTCATCAGCCCCACTTCCTGGATGGCATCACCTGACACCATCATTATAGGTTCATTTCGCTCACTATGAATTTTCTATACACGGAATCCTAAGTAAGGAACCCACTGCTTTGTGACTTTTACAGCAGTATTATGCTTTCAGCACTCATCTATATGGTACGGTCTGTAGCAGCAGTTCAGTTATTTTCATTGATTCTGCTACCTGTTCTTGAGTATATCACCGCAGGAAAGTGACCTCAACTTTAAAACAGGGATGGCTGTTAATATCTGCAGGCTTCTAAGATTAAACAACCACCAGACAATGAGTGTGTAACAAACAATGAGTGTATAACAATGGCGTATAACAAACACAGGCAAGGTACTAGTAGCTCTACTGCTCTCCATTACTTGGTATCTTTCTCCATCCTCTTAGGACTGTCCAACGTTTCTCTTTTCTTTATAGGATTTTGCTTTTATGATTGCACAAAGACCCTTTAACTCTTAAAAATTACCTATTAACTATCAATCAGGAAGAGGTCTTATTCTTCAGTGGTATAGCCTCTAGTAAGGCCCATGCTCCAGAAATAACCCCCAATTTATGCAGTCAACCCTAACTAAACACAGTGGGACACACAACCCCATGAACCTTACACGATGTGAAAGTTAGGAAGGGAAAATTTTTTGTTTTGTTTTTCGAGTCTGGACTTCTTTGTGTATCCTTGGCTGTCCTGAACTTGCTTTATAGACCAGGTTGGCCTTGAATGCACAGCAATCCCCCTGCCTCTTCCTCCCAGAGTGCTGAGATTAGAGGCGTCAACCACCACACCGGGCTGAGGGGACTTTTGGGAAGAGAACGGAGTTTAATTCTATAAGAATAATAGAAGGTATTAGTGGCTGAATATGAGCAAATTACATCATTCAAATACATGAAATCATCAAAGAATAAATGCAAAAATATTTTTAAACATCTATTCATTTGAGAGCCTGTTCATTTTTCTCCTTTCCATAAGCCTCACTCTTCCTCACAGACACAAACACTTTATCTGGGCTCTTGATAAACCTGCTGTATTATGCCCACCTTTAAAGATATTGGTATGATCAAATCATCTCTACCACAACTGTTTTCTTTCAACACAAAACTCTTATGATGCCTACATTTAGCATCTAGAATATTCAGTATTGCCTTGTGTAAGGGAACAATCAGTAATTAACAATCATGCACTAAAATACACCAATGAATTACATTTTTTTTTTTTGAGAACTTATATTTTCCAGCCTTTACTGAGACATAATGGAACAGATATTATGGCTGGGCTAGTCTAGATTCTTCCCAAAATGCTACACCCACTGAACATCCACTAGGAAGGTTGCCTGTCATTGCCTGAAGCCACTTGTTTACAAGAAAAAAATCACTTTGTTGACTATCAGTTGACCCATTTGCTAAGTAATCAGAAAAGATCAAGGACAAACAAATCAGTGAGTTTTATTGTTCCAAAAGACACCCCAAATCAAACTTATAATTCAGGATCTTGTTTCTGGAGCAGGGTTAACTTAGGTCTTATTCATCAGCCTGCTGCACAGTTTCCTTTTCAGACACATAGATACCATCCAAAAACTTTCTGATATCCTTGTTTTTAACTGTTGTGGCTTGCTGAATCAAAGCCGCTGAATTTGAGACAAGTTCAATATCATTTCCTTCAAGGATTAATTCATCCTTCTGGGCTTGAGAGACAGAACAAGCAACACCTGTCCTCATTCGAACCCTGCGGATGTATTTTTCACCCAGGAAATTTCGGATTTCAACCAAAGACCCATTCTCCTGGATAACGACGTTGATGGGGAAGTGAGCATACACAGACCTCATCTTGTAGCGGAAGCCCAGTGTACCACCCTTGATCATGTTCTGAACATGACTGCACATGGTTCTGACAGTGCAGTTCCTTTCTGTTACCCCACCATTTGTCAACCCGGAGCCTCTTCTTTTTCTTTCCGAGAAGACTCAGCTCTACATTGATATGATTGAAGTCCCTCCGTAGGGTTCCCCTGGGGCCCTTCACAATGACTGTGCGCCCCTTCAGAGTGATGTCGACACTTTCTGGGATGTCGACCGTCTGATTGCTGAGAATGGTCTTCATTCTCGCAGTAGATGGGGCAAAAAAAGCCAATGAATTACATTTTATCAGATAAGTATTCTAAAAGGATAAAGGTTCTATGAATTAGTTTTTCATACCTGTCCATCACTATCTTTAATCACCATCAGCACTGGAGTGTCTAAACCTGTCATTGTTCGATAAAGGGTCTTCAAACTTGTGCCATGCTTCCCAGTTCCATACACAAGAGTCCATGGGTAGCCAATGGTTCTCGGTGGAAGATGCTTAGTAAGCTTAGAGAAACAAATGGCATATTTATTTGACTGCAAGCATCAGCAGATACAACTTAATCAAACAAATACAGTGTAGGCTTAAAAAAGAAACATCAGAAACTTTTTTGATTCTGTGATGTTGCAATAGGAGTTACATACTCCTCTGCAAGAAATATAATCATCTATCAGAAAATGAGCAACCCTAAAACAAAGTCCCCAACGGAGAGAAGAAATACGGCAAACTTATCCCTTGTACTATAGCAAATTAACGAAATATTGGGTCAATTTTAGCCTGACCATTCCAATAGACTAAGAAGTCATATTATCAGAGCCTGAAAATCTTTTATAGAAACAGGACACTGAACAAATAAATTACTTAATGTCTCTACATAAAATTTCCTTCACCTACCAATAATATGTACAACAATAATCTGTAATTCAAGAGCTTTGATAACAGAGGCATGAAATAACACACAGAGAACACGGAACTGGGCACATAACAAACCAGACTGCCAGGAGAATGAGGCACTATCATCCTAGCACTAGGGCTGAGGCAGCGAATCAGGGGTTTGAGGTTCAGCTTGGGCTCCACACTAAGACCAGAACCAATAGCATACATGCCCTCCCTACTCCCGTAGTGTCTCACTCAGGCTTTACTTATGTTAGAAGGTTAGCTGCTGGACGCTCTGCCCCGCCCACTTCCTCTTCACCATGGGAACAGTAGCAGCAGGGACCCTATGGACAGTAACTGAAGAGGCTGCTTTTCTCTCGGTGCGCACACCCACACACGGCAGGTGACAGGGCATACCTTTTCGATCTGATCAGGCAGTAAGAGGTCACTGGGGTCACTGAGGTTTGGGCGGAAAGATTCAGGCTCCAGGTCTGCCTTCGCTGGAGCTGCCTGCTTTGAGTTTACGTCTTCCCTTGTAGTAATCTAAAAAGTAAATAGCAGCACTGTGTCAACACACAGTTGTGAGAAGTTCTGCACGCTGCAGCCTTTTGAGTTAAACCAAACTTTATTAAGCACAGGTAGCTAAAGATTTCCCAGAGTAAAGGATGGTCCCATTCAAGGGCAGACAGTGTGCCAATGCACAAGAGGTGAGAACGAGACCACTGCATCCATGACATAGGGAGAGCTGGCCGCGCACAGGTGCTCTCTCCTGTGTCTGGGTGACAGGAAGCTGACAGACAGCTGGTGAACCGAGTGCTCTTTAAAGTGCTATGATTTTTTTTTTTTCACACAAATATAAAAATTGTCAAAATTATTAATTCTTTTATCATCATTTTAAAGAATAGCAGATTAAAACTGGTAACTTTCTTTTCATTGGGATGTATTTCTTTGCTTCATTAAAGCTACCATTTTGTAAAACTGCCTCCTATTTTAACTTATTAAAACAATTGCTTTTCATCTACAAGGACCAAACAACAAATATTAAAATTAATTTGTTCACAATATAAGGTTAGAAACTTGGTCGCATTTATTTGTAGAAATCAGCACAGTGGTATTCAGAAAATGACAAAAAATGGTAATTAAAAAACTTACTTTATAATCTATTATTAGTACTTATATTTTCTATTAAATCTAAAACACAGTAACCCTAACAAATAAAAACCATAATTATTATTGAGGAAACATTTCAAGCCCACAGAATTCTGTGGGAGCAGATAACTAAAATGCAGCAAAGCTAAGAGCTGGGCGCCACTGCGGAGTGGAACCCTGGCCCTTCAACCCATCTCTTGCTAAGTCTGGACAGTATGTGCTTTCAGCCAATACATGTTCAAGAACTGTATTGTTTCTGATGAGAAGCTAAATATGAAGACTTTCACATCATTGTATTACCTTTATTTCAATGATGTGAAAGGTTAAAACAGAACAAAACAGAAATCCAAGGCAGCATTGGGAAAATTAAAAGAGAACTAGTCAGTCTAGGAAAGCAATGAAAGCATAAAGCATACTTTTATAAAAAGAAAAAACAAACAGAAAAATGAGTTTTCAATTTGATTGTCTTATTTTTTAAACAACACATTATTTTACATTTTAAATAATGTACCTAAGCTCAGATGCCTTCCCTATACTACCCCAAAGCATTTTTAATACCAACCAAAAATGCCCCCCCAAACTAATTTGTCCCATTAAGATTTTATCCATAGTTTATGAACTTGAAATAGCCTTGGAGAGAAAATACCTAAGCCTTACTTTCCATTAAGATTTTTATAATTTTCCTACCATCTGGTATCTTTCAGATATTAGTCAATGAAGGTCCAGTCACAAAACTAAATATTCTTCCAATGTCAAAATTAAATGAAAACTCATAGCTCAAAGAAATACAGTGCTGAGAATAGTTCTCACATGGCAGAATTGTGAAAACTTTTCTAGTGAAAGAAGAGAGCAAAAAGGAAGAGAGGAGAGAGAGAGAGAGAGGGAGAGGAGAGAGAGAGAGAGAGAGAGAGAGAGAGAGAGAGAGAGAGAGATGTAGTATTACAGCCCTCCAAGGCAAAATCATTCTTTAAGGCAAAAAGGAATTTCCTGGTGGCTTATTTTAGTGCTTCATTCAAGACAAATCCTTTTAATGTGATATTTGTCTTGAGAAAGGGCACTAAAAGCACGGAGCATTCAATCTCCAGAGGAGTTTAAACTACAGAAGGGCACCTGGAGACGCCTGCAGAGTGTGCGCAGCTCCTCGGTATTTAGAGCATCGATCCTGCGGTGGTGCTCAGCCACTGACACTACCTGAATATGGAAACAGGAAGACAATAATTCCACTGACAGTTGAGAAGAGAATATGTACATAAAAAGAAAAGACGGGAGAGAAAGAGAAGGTAAAGGGAGAGATTTAAATGTGAGAAGAGAGTGGTAACCAAGGCATCTTTTTCTAGTCCACACTAGAAATTGAAGAAATCTATATAGAAACTACGGTTAAAATGTACATGAGAGGGTTTTACTACTATATTCAGCTAGTAGAAAAAAATGTATATTTTATGGGTGATTTAACAGTGACTGGACTTAAAGTACAACTTTAAAGGAGGAAACTATAACATGCTGCACCAACACAGATGGCATTTAATCAAAGCTGTCTTCCAGTTTACAGAGAGTGGTAACCAACCATCATCACGCCCAACACAGCAGACTAACAGCCATGGTCCTAGAATTTCTTCTAGACACATGTGAGAAGCACACCCATTTGTATCACAGAGGGAAAGGGGGAAACAAGCAAGGAAAAGAATAAAATTCATTTATGAAAAAAAAAAAAAGAAATCCAGTAAAACAGGCAAGTTTTCAGAAGCGTGTCTAATTTACAAGTTCTTAAATCTGATACATAAATTTGGTCACAGAAAATAGATCACAATACAGAAAAAAAAAAAAAAAAAACAAAACAACCCAGCTATAACAACAGAAAACCAAGAACAAGACCAACGTGCAGTGAAGGTATTGCAGGCAGCATTGCTGCTACACTGTGAGAGTTTTCACTCCCTCAGGTCCAAGCACACAACATACATTCTTTTTACTGCTCTGCCACTATGCGCTGCTGTGACAGCAGAGGCCAACGCCACCTCTCCTTGGACTATTCTGTATTAGGAACTGCAGTGTTCATGGGATACTCAATGTCTTCTGGTTTTAAGAGTCAATGGCTTAATTTTGAAAAACATAGTTTTAATTTCATTTCTCAGCATAAGAGTATCAAATTAATGTATCTCTGAACTGTACTGTTAGAAATTTTATTTCAAAACTGCTGTATAAGTAGCTCATGAGTTGTGTACACATTTGTACACACCCCCAATAAATTTTTACTTACAATTAGAATTTCCAATAACTTCTGAAATGTCCCTAAACACATTTTTGTCAGTTTGTACTAAATAGCTATGCAATATTCTCAGAGGTGACAATTATCAAATCATTAACTGAAAAACATTATATTACGATATTTTATGGTTTACATTAATAAATGTTCAGCCAAGATTTAAGTCCTTATGCAAAAACAAGCATATCTATCTCATTAGCACACTGATTTTGTTTTTGATAAGTCACCAAAGGATTGTTTAAAATTTTTTTTTATGATTTGTTGTTGATATATGTTTGATTTTTAATTTTTTTTTTTTTTTCAAGATAGGGTTTCTCTGTGTAACAGCGCTAGCTGTTCTGGAACTTCTTTGTAGACCAGGCTGGCCTCGAAAACACAGACAGCCTCGGCCTCCCTGAGTGCTGGGATTAATGGCATGTTCTACTACACCCGGCTTTAAACTTATTATTTTTATACAAGGTCATGTAAAACTTTCTGGGGTGAGAAAGGACATGGCAGGAAGTGTCTGCACAAACCCTGAGCCTATGGCTTAGCTGGACTAGCTGGCCGGCAAGGCCCTGGGATTTTTGCCTCCATCCCATTGCATGTCTTGTTGAGGGACTGCATCTTCTTTCAGGTTTTCCTGCTTCACATTTCTTCCTTTGGCTTGTTCCGTAGCGGTTATTCATGACAAAAACTTTACTTTCCCACATTCTGAATTCCCAAGGGAAGTTCTTAATCACTCCTTGCTTGGTGCTGAATTTGAAAACCATTCATTACAGGTAAAAACTATTACAGAAAACACATACAAAAACCTCACAAGTTTCCTCAGCTCAACAAAATTACAGACCTTCTAAACCACAACATAATTACAACAACTTCTACGATACAGTGAAGGTAGAGATGTCATAAACACAAGGTGATTCTTCTGAACTGGAACACTTCTTGTGAGTCACCTCAAGAGGTTATATTAGAGGCTGTGGCTACAAAATGCAGTTAGCTCACGTACAGAGGGGCCAGACTTCAGTTAGCTTTGAAGGGCTCGTCTCAGTTAACTACCATGAAGGGCTACCATTAAACACAGGAACAGCTCTGTGTTCAGTGGTTGCTGAAAGCTGTGCAAGACATGAGACTAGAGGAAGAAAAGCAGCTGGGCAGTGGTCCCCGGAGACCACTGTTGCTATCCGGGATTTGCTCAGGATCCCGGGCATTGCGCAGGTAGGTGATTCTACCAACAGATAACAGTGGTGTTTTACCTTCCAGACCCTACAACCTTGCTACAGCTGGCTTTAATGAGTACAAGGCAAACAGGTTTGAGTAAAGCAAACAGGGATGTGTTTACAGAAGACTGAGGAATGACTGGCAGTGTCTACTGAGAGCTCTATCGCTGCTATTTTACTCTGTCACTTTGCCAGTTACCTTAGAATTAAAGTAGAGCTTGAATGACCCCTTATTTACCTGTAGCTTTCCTTTTAGGTTAAGGATGACTATTTTGTATATTGTGGATGGATGACTGTTCTGAAATTAAAATTTCAGTTTCAGACTGACAACAAGAAAAAGCTATCAGTTAAAAAAAATACTGGGTTAAATTTTCTTTTTTTAAATTTTTGAGCCTGGGCATCATTATATGGCCCTAGCTGGCTTGGAACTAATTATATAAACAAAGTTGACCTCAGACTCACAGAGATCTCCTGCCTCTTCCTTGGGATTCTGGTAGTAAATCTATGTGGCATCATGCCAGAATAATAAAATTTTTGATAAGGATGAAAGAAAAGTTAAGATACGAAAAATGAAAAGTACTGGCCTTGCTTTACTTTTTCATATTTCTTTTTTTTTTTTGAAGAATAAAGATAATTTATTACAATTTTAACACAAAAGAACCATAACAATTAATAATACTATAACAGTAACAATAATATGCTTTATAGAAAAACTTAGAGTCTGCCTTCTGTTGTAGATAAAACTGCACCTATTTAATTCTTTACCATTTAGAAAGCATGCTTAAAACAGCATGAGCAACACTTTAAGCTATTAACAGTAACACAGACCTCATAATAAAAAAAGATTAAGGAATACAGGTGTATACTTTTTATTATTTATTACAATTTATTCACTTTGTATCCCAGCTGTATCCCCCTCTCTCTCTCCTCTCGGTCCCACCGTCCCTTCCTCTTCTTTTCCTATGTCCAGAAGGGGGAGATAGAAAGATCTGTAGGGGACAGGAGCTCCACAAGGAGACCAACAGAGCCAAACAATCTGAGCCCAGGGGCCCGTGCAGAGACAGATGTTCCAACTAAGGATAAAAGGATCTAGACCCCCTTCTCAGATGTAACCCATGGCAGCTCAGTCTTAAGGTCTCTTCCTAGTAAGGGGAACAAGGCCTGTCTCAGACATGAACTCAGTAGCTGGCTCTTTGATCACCTCCCCCTGAGGAGGGAGCAGCCTTACCAGGTCACAGAGGAAGACAATGCAGCCAGTCCTGATGAGACCTGAGAGGGTAGGGTCAGATGAAAGGGGAGGAGTACCCCCCCCATACTATTCCATATTCTATATTCCTGTGGGCCAAACAGGATTCTATGTGCTGTTCTATGACCAAATATACTGCTCCATTTAATCATGAGTCTCCTCAATAAGAATTTTCACACCCTGAAACAGGTATGTATCCCTTCATTCCCTAGTCAGCACTATTCTAATTCTTATAGCTACTTTTAAATGTTACTTCTGTGTATAAACATTAAACACACTTCCTGAGTGGAAATGAAATTATGCTCACAAAAAGGATTGGTTTTATAAACATTGCTGAAATAGTAGTCATTGATAGAATGAAGGATTGTCACTGAAAGTCTGAGTTTATAAGTTTCTTTAATGTCAGAAGCCTATCTTTCCTCATTTATATTGTTTATTAAAGTGTGTGTGGGTGAGTATGAGAGAGAGGGAAGAGAGAAAGAGAGAGCGCACATGTGTCTGACCTCAGCCTGACAACTTGCAGATGTCATTCTCATCTTTTACCATGTGAGCACGAGGGTCAATAGGCTTGGTGGCAAGTGACATTTTTACTTGCTGGGCCATCTTCCTGGACCATTCATATTAAAACAATTATATAGATCATATTTTTATATTTTATAATATAAATTATTACTTATAATTTATATAAAACGTATATACATACTTTATTGTATAGTTTCTGACATGATGGCATACAGATTTAATCCCAGAACTTCAGAGACAGAGGCAGGCAGATCTCAGTGAGTTTGTGGTCAACTTGGCTTACATAATTATTTCCAGGACAGCCAAGACCACATAATGATACCCTGTCTCAAAATAATAATAATAATAATAATAATAATAATAATAATAATAATAATAAGCCAGTATTTTTAATTGATAAAATAAATTATATAATAATGATACATATGTGTGTGTGTATTACTTCCTTCCCAGGCCTTATAAATGCATTGATTTCTGACTGTATTTTTTATATTTTTGAGAAAGTCTCAAGCTTGATGGGCAGCTGAAGATGACGACAAACCCCTCATCTTCCTGCATCCATTTTCAAGTGCTAGAATTACAGAGGCATCACTTGGCTTCATGCTACTTTAAATGCTAATATATAATCATACTATGGGGAGGGAAGACACAAAATACTATTATATATAAAGCCTGTAAATACAAACAAATAAAACTGAGTACAGAAGTGCATTTCTTTTCAAAAATGGATATAGCAGAGATTGAGGGACTAGCCAACCACAGCCTGGCCCAAACCAAGACCCACCCCATGGAAGAGAACCAGCCCCTGACACTACTAATTATATTCTGCTTTGCTGAGTCTACCAGAGTTTTCCTCTGAGAGGCTCCACTCAGCAAAGGTTCAAAGCAGATGCTGAGACTCACAGCCAAACACTGGGCAAAGCATAGGGAGTCTATTGAAAAAGGTGGGGGAAAGATAAGTGGA